AAAAGATAAACTCGAGACTTTTATAGGTGAATGGATGCAACTAGAGACTATACTCCTAAGTGCAATAAATCAGACCCACATGTGTAAACATCCTACTGTCTCTCTAGTGTAAGAACCTGAAAGAGTAAATAGGATCTGAAAGTTACAATGGATACAGTAAAAGGCAAAAGAAACTGTTCAAAGGGAAGAAATGACTGGAATAAGGGAAAGCAGAAAAGAAAGTAAGAAGGAAGGGAAAAAGAAATATACATGTTTATAAATGAGATAGCTTGGATAATTGTTGATCCATTAAAAGGAACAATTAATTCCTAAATTTCCTTTCTTCATTTTAATTTCTTATAATCTAGGTATACCTTTGTGCAGTTGTTTCTACTTCAGATGCTATTATTTCAGAGATTTCAAGTGTGTGATTTTCAATTTCTTCTATGCTAGGGTCTCCTGCATTTGTTCTGGGTGGGCTCGGAATCTGAGAATGCATTTTGCTCCTGCTCTTTGTCATCTTGTATAGCACTGTCTTCTCGCCTTTCGTGCAGAGCTTGGATACAATTATTACCTTAGTAGCAGGTCTGGATCTACCAAGTTCAAATTCGTCCAGGTGGGTGTGGCTTGGGTCTGGCTGCTGTGCTCCACTTCTTCCTGCTGCAGCCCTTGGAAGTGAGCCCTCTGTGCCACTCTGGCAAGATGCTCTGCTCCTGGATCAGCTGGATGGGTCTTGCCGCTAGCCTCTCTGCAGGGGGTTCTGCCGCAGGGTTCCACGCAGGGCCTGTCTGATGGAGGAAGTTCCACTCACATGCCAGGCCTGGGCACTGGCTGGAGTGCGGGTCAGGAGGCAATTTCCTAGAATTTCTGACTAAACTTCTAGGTTTCTATCGGTAATCTGAACAACTAATTTGAAGACAACAATATGCGATATAACAACCGTTGTTGAATTTCTATCATTTTGTTTGGTGAAATTCTCTATTGTTGATAATTTTTTTACTCTCATTTGTATTCTCTTTAAAAATAAAAATAAATAAACATGGGTGCACATATATCTCTCATGATGTTTTTAATTCTTGTGTTATGATGGTTTTAATTCTTCTGGAAAAAATACCCAGGAGGAGAATAACTGAGTGGAATAGAACCTCTAATCCTAGTTTCTTGAGGAATCTTCACACTTATTTCCATAGTGGTTGCACCAGTCTGCACTCCTACCAACAGTGAAGAAGGGTTTCTTTTTCCTCCAGAGTCCCTTCAGCACTTGTTATTGGTTGATTTCTTGATGATGGCCATTATTTCTGGAGTGAAATGGAATCTCAGTGTTACATTAATTTGCATTTCTCAAATGACCAATGATGTTGAACACCTTTTAAATGTATTTATTTGCTATTTGTACTTCTTCAACAAAGAAGTCTGTGTTCATCTCAGATATCCATTTTTATTGGGTCTTTGAATTTTGATTTTTCTAATTTTTCCTGTGTTCTAGATAGAAATCCTTTGTCTGGGAGACAATTGGATAATGTTTTGCCACTCTGTGAGTTATCTTTTCATTCTATTGGTGATTTCTTTTAATGTGCAAAAGGTTTTTAACATGATGAGATCCCAGTTGTTGATTCTTTGAGGTGTTTCCTATGCAGTTTGGGTTCTGGACATGAAGTCTCCGCCTACCCCTATGTCTTCAGCTCTACTTTTTCCAATTTACTGTTTCTGTTTTAATATTTAGATCTTTGATCCATTTTGACTGTAGTTTAGTTCATGGTGATAGACGTGGGTCTAGTTTTAGTCTTCATATAAAGAGCAAGTTTTCTAACACCATTTATTGAAGAGTAGACATGTTTGTCCTCTTTTTCAAAGATAAGGTAGTTGGGTGTATCTGTAGTTGAGTCTGCATCTTCTATCTGTTACACTGGTCCTCAGGTCTGTTTTTTTTCTCCACCATGCTAATTTTATCACAGTAGCTTTATAGTATAATTTCAAGTCAGGGATTGTGATGCATCATTCCTTGCCTTTGCTGCCCAGGATTGCTTTTGCTATTCTAGGACTCTTCTGATTACTAGCCACAAACCCCTGGGAAAATGAAAACAGAGCCAAACACTTCCAACTTTCAATGGTACAAGGTAAATATTTCCATTCCAAAAGTTACAAAAAGAGGGTTAGAAAGGAATGGGACAAAATAAGGTCCACAATCCAGGAGGACAAACATCTAAGGCAATGTGTGGCAAGTTGAGAACTCCACAGGAGTTGAGTGACACCACCCTTATTGCACTTCTGCTGGTTGGCGTTCCCAGGGCTCTTCTCTTGTAGTATGTAGTGATTACATCTTATGAGACCACTATTATTAATGTAAGCCACTAAATGTATAGTAGTAAATATCACTTATAGTTTACTTCAGAGATAGATTCTGTAAGGCTATACTCTGATGTATTCATCTTCAATAAGGTATATACTTAAAATATGCAATGTGGTAGTTTGATAAATGTAAGTATTCATTGTAATATGATTACCAAAACAGAACTAATCATTATACTTACCAACTTATATAGTTATTGTGTATGAATGGGGGTAATACTTGAGTCTTATACTGCTAGTAATTTTCAAGTATGTAATACATTCTTATTAATTATAGTCACCATGGTTTAAGATAAGACTCCAGAATTTACTTGTCCTGGCTAACTGAAACGTGTGCCCTTTGGCAAACATCTCTCTGAAGACAGTGTAAGCTTAGACTATACCATCCACCCTTCTACTGTCTGCTTCAATGAGTTTGACTTCTTTTAGATTCCATATATGTCACATATGTAATGTGTGTCTTTTTGCCCCTGGCTTATTTAACACAAGGTTGTGCAAGTTCATCCACTTGTTATAAATGATGATTTCTTTCTCTTTGGAGGGCAAATAGTATTTCATTGGATATACATGGCATATTTTCTTTATTCATTCATCCATCAGTAAACACTTAGTTTGATTCTATATTTTGCCTGTTGTGAATAATGCTTCAGTGAACATGGGAGTGCAGATATCTTTTTGGTATGCTGATTTTATTGCATTTGGAATATTTATTCAGAAAATAAGATTGTACTGTCTAGTAGTTCTATTTTACTATTTTAAGGAACCTCTGTACTTTATTCTGCAGTGTCTGTACTAATTTACATCTTTATCATCTTGCAGAAAGGGTTTCTTTTCTCTATATCTTCACCAAGCCTTTCATCTATTTGATAATAGCCATTCCAAGAGCTATAATATGACATCTCATTGGTTTTCATTTACATTTCTTGATGATCAGCATTTTTCATACATCTGTTGGCCATACTTCATGGCTTCTTTTGAGAAATATAAATTTGAGTTCTCTGTTCATTTTTTCTGGTACTGGGGATCAAAACCAGGGAGTACTGAGCTACAGCCCAGCCATTTTATAAATTTTAATTTGAGACAGGATCTTGCTGAGTTTCTTAGGCTGAGCTCAAATTTGCAATCTTCTTGTTTCAGGCTCCTGCATAGCTTGGATTATGGCATGTGGCAGCCCACCCACTTCTACTCATTTTTATTTATTTATTTAATTTTTAGTTTTGGAATTCTTTGATTCTTTATATATGCTGAATATGAACCACTTTCAAATGTATGGCTTGACAATATTGTCTCTCATTCTGTAGGTTATTTCTTCGCTCTCTTCATTCCATGCTGCACAGGCTCTTTGTAGTTTGCTGTGATTCCATTTGTCTATCTTTGCTTTTTTATAGCCTGTGCTTTTGAGGTCACATTTTAAAAAGTCAATGTTTAGATCTATGTCCAGAAGCCTTCTTCACAAAACTAGTAAAAATAATGTAACTGAAATAATTTGGTAAGAGATACAAATTATAAAAAGATGTGTTATGACATTAAAACATAAAATATGAGGGGCAGGTAGTAAAAAAAATGGACTTTTATATATAAGTAAAATTAAAATTTTTATCTACTTAAAATAGCCTGATATAGTTATAAGATGCTTTGTGTGAGTTCTACTGTAACTACAAAGTTAAAACTTGTAACAGATATACACACATAAAGTGCTCAAAACACTCCAGAATAACCTTAATTCACCAAAGCAGACAGAAAGCCTGGCAAGCCCAAGGGCCTGAGCTCAATCCCCAGTTCTGAAAAGAAAAAAAAAAAATAGACAGAATGAGGTAGGAAGAAGGAAAAATGTACCTAGAGAACAAAAAGCAAAATGTCAGTATAAGTCCTTAATTCAAAATAATTACCTTGAGGGCCAGCCAGATAGCTCAGCAGACTACAGCACCTGCTTAGGCAGGACACAGTGGCTGAGGTTTGATCCCTGGCCTGCCGTGCCAGCCCTGCTCCCAGGACACACTAAGATGGTAACTGATACTGGGCATGGTGGCACATGCCTGTAATCCCAGTGCTTGTGAGGTTGAAAACAGGAGGATCCCTATGAGTCCAATCTATGTAGTGAGACCCTGTAGACCCTGTAGACTGTGTGCTAAATACAAAAAAAAGAGAGTAAAAGTAATTACCTTGAACGTAAACCGATTAATTTCTCCAGTCAAAAGCTACAGAGTGGCTAAATAGGTTAGTGGGGGGAAATTCCAACTATATCAAGCAGTGGTGGGAGACCTATGGCATATAAGCTGCAGCTGGGGGTTCACATGATAGAAAGCTCTAAAAGTTTTCTATCATCATCAACGATATAGCACTTATAAGAGACTCTCTCCACCTTTCAGCTGACAAAAAGAAAGGACTGAAAAGGATATTCCATACAAATGAAAAAAGGGAGTAGAAATAATAGCTATGCTTACATCATGCAAAATAGAATTTAACCAAGTACTGTAAAGAGAGATAAAGATCAAGAAGATCTTTATCAGATATATAGAAAGAAGAAGCAGAGGGAGGAGGAGGAGGAGAAGGAAGAGAAGGAAAAGGAGGGAGAGGAAGAGAAGGAAGAGGAGAAGGAAGATGAGGATGAAGAGGAGGAGGACAAGGAGGAGGAGAAGGAGGAGGAGGAGAAGAAGAAAAGAAGGAGAAGAAGAGGAAGAAGAAGAAGAAGAAGAGGAAGAAGAAGAGGAAGAAGAGGAAGAAGAAGAAGAAGAAGAAGAAGAAGAAGAAGAAGAGGAAGAAGAGGAAGAAGAAGAAGAAGAAGAAGAAGAAGAAGAAGAAGAAGAAGAAGAAGAAGAAGAAGAAGAAGAAGAAGAAGAAGAAGAAGAAGAAGAAGAAGGAGGAG